AATCTTGCCAAACAACTCACTAACAGATCACTATGACATGGAGTACTGTAACTGTAACTCGTGTAAATTGCACAACACGGTTCGTACAGTTTGGGGTGGCAGAATTTCCCACTATTCGAAAGCACCAAAACCTAATTTCCAAATGAATAATGCTCACCGCTGCCAAAAAAAGAGTCGGAACAAGGTCAAGTAGCCACCTGTATACGACACTATCACTAGTCATGCCTGTGATCATACTGAGAAGACTGTCATGTTTTAAAGACTTAGGTCCTGGAAAGGACTGCCATTTCCTACAATTTCCGAAACCAGTATGAACCCTGTGACTGTGAGTACATTGTACACATGTTAGTATGCATGAACATGTGCAAAAGAAAACCATCTAAAAATAAACTTACGTATAGCAGAACCTTAAGTCAGGACACCTTGACCTATCAGCAGCCTCATAAACGTAGTCAGATCCATACTCCAACTGCATATCAAGCTTGTGGGTATTCAAGGCAGTGGATGGGGAGTGGCCTCTGGAAAACAGGTCTTTGAATTTTGTCACTGTTGCTTCCGAAACATCTCTGAATTTCAGGGTATCAGCGCTCTCAATCACATGAATATGAACGTGATGGAGTCGCACAACCATTGGAAAAGTAGGAAGATGAGGGTCTACTGTTTTAGCCCTGAAAAAGAAGCATAGAATTAATCTTGACTGCCAAATTTTCCAAACACGTCGTTTTTTAGGAATAAGTTTATTAATATAATAAAATTAATAAAATTATAATATTATTAATAGAATAGTTAATTAATATACCTCTCCAAAACTCTGGCGAAAAATGTGTTACCGCACATAAATAGTTCAATGCGGTATACTACATTTTTAATTAGATGTATGTCTATGTTATTATTGTTATCTCCTTTGGCACTCCTTCAGGATGAACTTTTGTACTGTACGCAACTTACCTACAACGCCTCCCTGGCAACTTCTTTACTGTTAGGTCCATTTGTGCAGTACACTGTGTGTTCTTGCACACCCTTTTCAAGTTAGCTGTTGATGTCTGAGGCAGTGTATTATGTTGGCATCGATAGAACGTCTTCCAGAGATTAGTCTTCGGAACATTAACAGGCTTTGTGGCCAGTACTCGGAATGTAACCTTGCTTGTTTCTGTGTACTCCTTCAACCATTTTTGGGCTCCATCGGCATCTCCAATATTGACCCGAAATTCTGCATGAAATCCATTTCCATTTTCCAGTGCTTTAAAGTTGCACACATGATATTCGTAATCAGGCAGAAGGGCTCTCTAAAATAAAATAAAAATAAAAGTAACGAAAATAAAACTCAAGGAAATGTCTATTTTAATCAAATTATCAAAATAAATTATACATTGTAGGCCTGTGATGATGTCAAGCAGGCTGATCGTCAAATTCTTTTCAGGGGCGTACCACTGAAGTCACAATCTCAGTCAGACAGATTTTAGTCAAAAGGCTAACTTAAACTGGCCTAGTCATAAGGGGTAGGTTGAGAGATTTCTTAGGCCAAGTAAAAAATTGCTTGTTTTTGGTCACCGACCTACTCTCAGAAAATGCCTCCGACTTCAGATTTTTCACCTCATTTTCACCTTTGATTGTCAGTATTAAATTTTTCTAATACTTGACATGCCTATCTCACTCTCAGCAGATCGACTCATGTCAGCGCCACACTGTGTTGAAACCTCGCACTTTCGGGCAGAATGATGAAGATGATGATGAGAATCTGATGAAACACATTCACGTATTTCCGCTATTTCATGCATGTTATCTTTTACAGATTTCAACTCACAAAATTTGCTATTTTGAAATTTTAAAGAATTCAACTCGCAAAAAATAATTTAATTGTTGATAAAATATTAAATAGTTAAACAAAACTTTTTTGAGTTGAAATTTTAATGAATTTTAGTTGAAACAGTTCAATTAGTTGAACCTCGGTGCAGGATTTCAGTGCATTTTTACCTGGATCAAGGATAGATCAAGGTTGAAACCGGAGATTAATCTGCCACCAAGTATAACAGTGTGAGGTTTCAACACAGTGTGGCGCTGTTGACGAGCTGAGAACGGCTATGGCCTATACAATAAGCCTAAGTCCAGTATTCTACACTCAGAATCCAAAATAAACTATGTGACATTTTAGGCCCACTCGCTCTGACACTGACAATAGCTTGCCATAACAATAGACTTAGCATAGCAAGTGACTTGACTATAGCATATATAGCATAGTATAGACTATAGCAATAGCATAGAGTATAGACTAGCAATAATAGACTTGACAGCATAGCAGACTATATAGCAATACTAGCAATAGACTTGACAGCTATACCTGGTTGTTATCCGTTGTCATAATCATAACCATCATCATTATAATCATAATCATAATCATGATCATAATCAAAACACTTACATATAGTTCAGGGAATTGAGCAACTGGAACAGCTTGCGAATCATACGCACATTTCATGGAGGCTTCCATGATGAATGTGTAAGTAGTACACGTGATGGAGGAAAGCCAATCAGAAGGCTAGAAATAATTCCTATACTAACTGCGATTGACCAATCAGAATGCTAGAAATATTTGCTATGGCAATCCTGTTTGGGAATTGTAAATTCGGGTGCCGTCTACGGTGTCGAAAAGTCCCGCACTACGCCATACCACCCTCAAGGGAATGGCCAGTGCGAGCGCTTCAACAGGACGATGCACGACCGGCTGAGGACGCTGATGCCGGAAAAGAAGAGGAGATGGCCGGAGCATCTGCTGGAGTTGGTGTATTCGTACAACGCAACGATACACTCCTCGACGGGTTATTCCCCGTACTTTCTTATGTTTGGGCAAGATCCACGGTTGCCCATTGATTCTCTCCTGGGAGTCAATCAGGGGGACAACTGTGATGACACGGACGGTGTTGACGACTGGGTGGCCGGGCACAGGCGGAGGCTTGGTAAAGCTCTGGAGGCCAGGAAACAGGGCAGAGGGTGAGGCTGGGGCATGAGGCTTTGCAGCGTCAACACCAAATGAACAAGAAGTCGCGGGACACTGACCTGCCAGTAGGGTTAGAGTCAAACCGATGTCAGGGGCGGAACAAGATCCAGGATATGTGGGATTTAACACCATATGTCGTCGTGGCGAAGCCAAACCCACAGCAGAATGTGTACGTGGTGCAGGCTGCTGACCGGGTGGGGCCAACCAAGGTGGTAAATCGTGTTGGCCTGTTAGATGGTAAGAGCACGGTCGAGGTCCCCGGTGCTGTAGCAGTGGCGCCTGACAATGACGCATGGTCGGATGAGGAACCTGTCGATTCACCGGAGGGAGAAACACGCCCACGGTTTAGGTGGGTCCGAATGGATATACCGGGGGCAGAAGCAGAGCACCCACAGGAAAAGGGAGACCTTGCTTTTAAAGGTGTAGAAGCGAGACCGGAGGGTGGCGAAGCACCTGGGGAAGATAGGGGTATCGTGGGCACTGACGAGTCTGAGTCAGGCGGTGGCTCGGAGAACGCTAGTGCCACGGGGGACACCACCGGTAGGGACGACCAAGGGTTGGAAGGGGAACAGGAGGCTGATAAAGCTCCTGAGGAAAATGGAGGTGTGGGGTCACTGACGAGTCTGAGTCAGGCAGTGACTCGGACGACACTTGTGCCACGGGGGACACCACCAGGGAAGATGGTCAGGGGGTGGAAGACCCTGAGGAGGGGCCTGGGGGAGACGAACCTTCCGATGGTGACGTGAGTGACGGGAGAGAGGCGGACTTGCATGACAGGGAGGACTCGACACTGGTCAGGCGTACCTCTCGTCCAAACGCGGGCACTCATGGGAATCCCCATCACCTCCCAAAGTCGGTTGTGCGGACCCAAAGGGCTGCCGTAGTTGAGTCGGCTGGGGTGCCGAGGCAGTTTGGCGACCTGGCGCAAGCAGTAGCTAGTCTGGGTCAGGTGCTCCAGAACTCGTGGATGGCGGGTGTGAGTGGCCAGTCGACTAGGATGTCAACGATTTAAACTGGGGGGTGTGTGAGCGTGTGTTTTGGTACGCCCATTTATTCGGAGTCTGTAGTGTTGTTCTGTACATGACTTACTCTGTATAGTGCTGCCGCCTGGTGTTAGTGTAGTAAAGCTATGGGGGGATTGAGGATAAACCCTTTGTTTTGGATTTGCGCGGGAAAGAAGGGGTGCCATTTTTGTCGCAGAGGGAATCTGGATACTCGTGTGAGTGCAGATGTGGATTTAGTAAGTTTACTAATAAATGTTTAATTATTGACTTGCTATATCATGGATGATTTTTAAGAACATCCTATTGCATTTGTTTTGTGAATTGTAACCGAGGGCTAGTGTTAATAGCAGTGTATTGTGGAGACAATATAAATATTCTCCAGCAGTTAGTTTTCGTTGTGTGTGTGTGTGTGTGTGTGTATGTAGGGGATTTCCCTGGTTAACAGGATGTGAGTTGATCGGGTCTTTGTTTGTCCGGTTGAGGGTGGAAGTTGCTATTAATAGCTTGCCTCCCTGGTTACTATATATATATGAGTAAGCAAAGTTCAGCTGCAGAGTAATATTATTATTAAATATTATCGTTAAGAATGGCTGTTATTTAGATATAGCTGGCTGTTGTTAAATATTAGTAAATGTCAAGAGCGAGTTGATATGTAGTGTGGGATGGCATGGTGCTTTATGTCACATGTATGAGTTCTGTTAACCCGTTAGGGGCCGTGACATAAGTAGGGGGATGTGCGCTGTGGCATGTAGACTGTAAGTTGTATTGTTAAGTGTGCAACTGTGTTCAAGGATCTGATAGTGTTATTGATAAGTATGTTCCCGTGGATGTGAGTTATTATGGTGCATTCACTTTATGCGGCGAACAGTGTTTGGTTTAGCTCATGTAATCATCCTGACAGATTTATTACATGAGTGTTTACTGCATAAAGAGGGGGGAGATTCTTTCAGTAGTCATTATTATGTATGTTAGTAGCATAGTTATTTGAAAGTTATTTGAGTTAGTGTTGTGAGTTTGCGGTAAAGTGTTCGCATGAGGTGTCACGTGTTTATTGTTATTATTCTGCAGTGACACGCAGGTGATGCTGAGCCGGTGTATGTCGGGGCAGTGAACGTGGCCCTACCGGAGTAGTGTTCTGCAAGGGTAAGCGGATAGGTCCCCACAGCAGGGGACAATGCTTGTGTTATATTGTGTTATAATGTGTTATATTGTGTTATAATGTGTTATATTGGATTATAATGGTGGATAATGTTGAGTTTATGTATTTGGCCTATATACTGCTCATATGCTATGTTACATTTAAACTTAAGGTGTGTTTCATTGTTTATATGTTGCAGGGTCGCCTGCACAGTCGTAACTACGTCGTTTGTGTGATGTGGTTACACGGTCGTTGGTGACATTTTGCTTGTTGTCAATTGAATAAACTCTTAAGTCACCGTCATCCGAGTGTTGTGTTTTGGTGTACGTGCACGAATAACGCCCCACACATGCCTAATTGCCTATACATCAGTTCAAATTCATCATCTTTACCTGGAGAATAATCTGCTAAATTTCCCACCAAACTGTTTCATACTGGCAAAATGTAAACCAAAGTAGAATCAAAGGAAGAATATGACAGAAATACTAACCACGAACAGCTTTGGCACAAGGTCAGATACCTTCATAATTTTGCAGAAACTTTTGAACAATAAAATCTCATCATATTATGACAATTTTAATCCGAACTGAACACTTTTGCATTTTAGACCAAGACTTTTGACTATGCACAGAGTTTATTACTGCTATTTACCACTGAACTGTTGCTCCAGGTCAGACTGAATGTGGTCAAAAAATGGGATGCCTACATTCACCCTGTAGTAAGTCTCTGGATCCCGTGCAAGGGTCGTGTTACGATATTGTGATGTCCCTCCTGGTCTGCGCGGCATACAAGGATTCACGCCTTCTCACAGAGTGTTCATATATGCGGTGGAACACGGCTTCGACATCACCACGCAGTGTCTCATAGTGGAGCTTGACATCTGTGACCTGTAGAAATTAACACAAAAAATGATCTAAGTAAGGAACATGCTGCTCAGCTCGTAAATATAAAGTTATGGATCTTAAAGGTAGTATCAATCTAATGCAGGTCAAAATTTTAACATTGCGAGATCATTTTTATTATGATAAAGACAATGCTACATTTCAGCTATCCTGTAAATATTGACTTGAAAATATAATTTATTCGAATAATAGCGACTTACTTTACAGAAATGATAAAACGTGTGTTTACAAGCTTTATCCTTTCATAGGTGTGCATGTTATAAATAATAACATATATCAAATTCTTGAAAACTATAATAGATATTGGTGACAATTTTTTTTACAAATTATTAATTTTTCATTATCAACATTTCATGAGATTATAGCTGATTCCTACAATTTTTCCAAAAGACTGCTGTTACCTTTGAGATACACAACTGATCTACATGGTTCGATTATGATTGAGAAAGAAAAATGAAACCACAATTTGTTTTAAAACTAAACAAACAAAAATTGGAAATAATAGACTCACACTATCGTATGCTGAAACCATGTCTTCAGCCTTCCCTTGCAGTTTGACAGTCAGGCCTTGCATTGGTGAAAGCATTTCATACACAGTGAGAAACGTGACGATAAATCCGAATTTGGTGATCGCTTCCAGCAGGGCACCAGCTGCAGTTTTAGTGCGGCCATCCCAATCATCATTTACTATGTCACCGTCATATTTGTCGGTTTCATTGATGTACGATCCATACACAATGACTTCAAGAGCCATAACCTGTTAAGAGTAAATATTGGAAATTCTTACAAAGTAAATATTTGATAGTAAGTTGCAAGTAAAGTTTTATGGTAAATTATTAATGATTACATACAGTGGAAATGATCATATTTCACGAGTTAAAAAAATGTATTTCTTTCTAAATCAACATTTCATGTGTCAAGCGCTATATAAATGACTATCTATTATTATTATCACGTGGGCACTTGGCAGTGAACCATTGTCAGTTTGGGCTTCAAATGAAAGGTAATTTCATATTAAATTGTCATTGTTAAGTTGAAAGCATTAATGCAAGATAGAACAAACCTGCCAAACATAGCACTGATAAAAGTGCCTGAAGGCATCATATCTCGCTGCCCATCTGGTTGCACAAATGTCTAGCAACGGTTTCCTGTTGGTGGCGTGCTCTGGCACATTTTTTCCAACAATTTCCTTCAGCGGTCCTTCTCTTCTTGGGCTCTTACTAAAGAATACCGAAGACTCCTTCAGCTTGTCCAACATATTCCTTACTTCCTGCTGTTTGGCTGAGTGGGCATACACAAGGTTGAGAGCATGACTCAAGCAATGAGTGTAGATAGCTCTGGGGGAGTGCTGCTTGATGATTCCCTGTACACCAACTCTCGCACTACTCATTGCAGCAGCACCATCATACCCTTGTCCCCTTATCTTCGTCACATCAAGGTTGAGCTCTTCAAGTTTCTGTAGTATTTTAGATGCCAGCACACGCCCTGTAGTCCGGCAAGTTCCTATAAAGTCAATGAACTCCTCACGCATCTGGCAGTTTGTATCTACAAATCTCACACACAGTGACATCAACTCTGCATTATGGCTCGTTGCCTCGTCACACATAACAGAGAACCATCTCGTCTTCCTCACCTCTTCAAGAATAGTCTCTCTGATGATCTTGTGGCCAATGACATCTATCAATTCGTTCTGTGATTGAGGAGAAATGTATGTGGCATTTTTCTTTGCGGGTGCCTGGAGGTGCTTTTGCAGAAGTGAGCTGTGTTTTGACAGCAATTTCAACCGAGCGATGAAATTGCCAGGGTTCTTTGTAAAACTTGTGTCCGATGCTTCATAGTCACCTCGGAGAGGAATGTTCTGCCGTCCACAGTACAGGACAGTTTCTCCAATGTGCTTTAAAATTTCCCCATTTTCTTTTATTTGTTTATGTTTTTTTCTGTCGAAAACGATGATCTAAGTTATCAGGATTGTCAGCTGGTTTTTCCATTTAAGTCCCTTGTTCTGCCGACACAGACAAGGTGGTATTCCTGGAGATGGTGTCCAGTCCTCGTGTACTTCTTCTGGTTTACTTTAGTTGATTTTTGCCAGACTGGGTTCCTTTGAGTTTCTCTGAGATCTTATTCCATCTTTTGAAAGGCTCATTGACCAATGCTCCAAAATAACTCCTGTCTTTGGTGGTGAAGAGAGCACAAACAATACAATAAACTACATCATGTTCTTTGCTATACTTCAGCCACTGGAATTCATCCAACCACTTGGAATTAAAGCGTCTATTGCAATCATTCATCCTTGTAGTGGGAAACTGAAAATTGCCAGGTGGGTGAAAGTGGTGTTTCAGGAGGTGGTATTTCTGTTCATCTGATAGCTCGTTGACCTTCCTTTCTAGTGTTGCTGCTGTGCAGCCTTGTGGGATAACTTGTCGAATGTCTATGTACAGAGGTTGTGGGAACTGGGAGGTGTCAGCATGATCATCTGACAACTGAGGTGATGTTTCTTGGTCTAAAGTCTGATGTGTTTCTTGGTCTAAAGTCTGATGTGTTTCTTGGGCTGAAGTCTGATGTGTTTCTTGGTCTAAAGTCTGATGTGTTTCTTGGGCTAAAGTCACTGCAGTCTGCCGTGATGGCTCTGAAGCCCGAGTTGCCGATTCCACAGCCTGATGCGACATTTCAGTCTGGTGTGAGGCGTCCTTGATTGATGATGCTGAACTGTTCTCTTCCAAGATGCATTGATCTTGGCACATCACAAAGGAAATCAATTACAATTTGTGTCTGTATTTGATAGAGTGACCAGTGACCACAAACTTGGTATGATTAATTGATAATGCTCAAGTTTTGTAAATGAAAACCTTTTCATTTTAACATTTAACGTGTAAAGTGTGTAATCAATTTACCACATTATATCATGTATCTCATTTTATTAGGATAAAAAAATGAAATATATGCTAAAATATATGTTGCAAGGTGTAACAATGAGTGTAAAGTACTTTACTCACTTGATTTGAAAAATGCTGTGATGGGCTTAGTCCCTTTAATACCATGAAGTCTAGTTCGCTTGTACACTCCAGTCGGTTTTTCTGAACGTTGACGCTTTGAGTTGTGCGACTCTACATTAAAATAAAAGAAGAAAACTGATAATCTTACATTCAAAGCACGATTCAAATAATATAGATTTGTGGACATGGGCAATTAAATATTACACATCCACTCTCATTTTGTGTGCGTGTTGGGAACTATCAATAACATAATCACTTGAGCATCTCCCCTATGAGGAACCGTGTATCAACTTGTTTGATTTTGCATTTATTCTAATACAATTCACCTTTTCTTTCTTTATTGGAATCAGTATTTCTTTCTCATTCTTATTATGGCTTGAATTTATATAACATTACTATTACCTCTTTTAATTGCAACAAAATGCCGGTCTACAATGTGCCCAATGGTGATAGGTCCTTGTTTGTCGGATACCAGATTACATGTAAATGTATGAGTTGACACTTTGTTGGCATGGACGTCTTTAGAGATAACAATGATGGGCTGTTTGATATACTCTGCTGTGGCCTGCATGACTCGGTCATCTTAAACATCTTCCGTCTTTAAGGCAAGGTTGGCTAACGAATCGGGTGTTATTTGTTGCTTTAGCGGTTCTGATGGTTCCTAAAAGGTATTAAAACAAGAAACATTAGCTTCACAAAGAAGTTGTCTTATAATACTACTGTTGCCTTCAATAACAATGGTCAGTACATATACATTAAAAATGCTATTATATTGTTCACCATGTATTAAAAAAACCACTTTGCTGTAGATGTTCCCTGATTAAGGGGTTCTCCCAAAATGTTATCAATTAGTCCAGGCGTTAGTAGACACTTTTTTGCTCAACTATGACTGTGCATCAGCCTAAAAAATATATTATATATATTTATTACGGGAGCTCTTTTTTGATTTTGTATGAAAAAAAGAGCTCTCGTAATTTTGTTTACGGGAGCTATTTTAAGCTTGGCCAGAGCTACTTTTTCATAGCATGATTTCGTTAAAATTTTCATAATTTTGATGCACTGACTCTAATAATGTCTCAGAAGCCAGAAATTGTGTCTAATTATCGTAAAGGTGTTTCCCAAACAAAAGTCAAGATTATGCTTTGGCGAAATCGACGAGGTCACAAATTATTCCTAATGGTGACAAAACCACGAAGGCCGGGTTTACATGTTGCTATATGCATGTTGTGTACAAAGTATGACTGCATGCACTGATTGTCTCATTCGCATTGTTTTTTAATTCAAATCTCGTTATGTCTAGCTTGTGCATGAACGGCGTCTTTGAGGAAGAATAACAATGAATGGCGGCTGTTTTGATAATACTACTGCTGTGGCCTGCATGACCGCGGTTGCATCCTTGAAACATCTTTCGCCGTCTTCAAGAGGCAAGGTTTTGGCTAACCGAATCGGTGTTATTTGTTTGGCTTTAGGCTGGTTCTGCGTGGTTCCTAAAAGGTATATAAAAGCCAGAAACGATTAGCTTCACAAGAAGTTGTCTTATAATACGACTGTTGGCCTTCAAAAGAACACCTGGTCAGTACTATATACATTTGAAAAATGCTATATGTTGTTCAGCACATGTATTAAAAAACGAACTTTTCTGTAGATGTGTTCCCAATGATTAAGGGTTCTCGCCTAAGAACTGTTAGTACCTTATGCCAGGCGTTAGTGAGACACTGCTGTTTGCATCAACTAATAGCTGTGCATCCAGCGCTAAAAAATGATAGTTATATACTTTTTCCGGGGCCTCTATACATACGGCCAGAAGACATATACACATACGAGAATACATGTTGTAGTGAAAAGCAAGAGCTCGGGACAGAGTCACCGTAATTTTGCGCTGGTTTACGGGAGCTATGGGAGGGGTGGCGTTTTAGGAGTTCCTTGGGAAGAGACCACAACCGAAACAAGTGAGGGCTAGGAAACTGAAGAAGAAAAAAGGTGCATAAAAGAGGAAGAGAAAGACACAGCAACAGCAGATAAGAGGAGGAAAAGAGATAGAAAAAGAAGGTCGAGAGCAGGAGGGGAGAAACCGAGCCCGAGGCTGAAGAGTTAAGTATATCGAGAGATCGAGAACATGATATTCGATTATAAACACTTTTCATAAATTTTGAATGAGCCACGTGAGCACAAACTCTATCAATGCCCGTCTCACGGGCCCCCACCCGGTCCTCCGCGTGTACCTAACCCACCATGCATCCACCCACCGCCCTCCCGCTCACACAAGAGAGATTTCAAACCCCCCCACCCACACCACCACCACCACCCCCCCCCCCCACACCCCAAAAGGAGGAAGTCAAAGAAGAATGACTATTGAAGCGAAAAAATCTAGGGCACGGATAGGAGTGCGACACAAGAAGGAGAAAAAATTAATGGTCCCTAAGAGATAAAGGTGACAGGAAGAACGCAAAAAAGAACGCCGCCGGTTTTACATGATTGCTATAAATCACTGTTGTCGCTAGCAGGTATGAACTGCATGCCTGATTGTCTACAATTGACGCAATTGAAGAAGGATTTTTAGTATAATTGCCACGAAAAGGATCTCGTTACAGTCAGGGGCAATAGTCCAAGGTAAAAAAAGAATGAGGACTACAATAAGCAAACAGGAGTTGGAGCGCCGAATACAGGAAAGGCAATTTCAAGAGGAGCAGAACCGGGCAGAATTTTGGCTTGGCCCGCCATCGGGCAAGCGGTTTGTGCGAGACGCCGGCACGCAGGGTTCGAATTTCGCTGAAAAATCTAGTGAGCAGCAGGTCCACGGCAGACTTAGAAGTTTGGATGGGACTGCACAAAAATATGTGGTCAGCGTTCATTTAACTAAGCAGATGACGTAACAAAATAGTATATAAAGGATAACATTGGAAAAGGCTAGCATTGAAGAGCGACGATGGACAAGGCAGTTAGGAGGGAAGAGAAAATAGTTCGCTTTATTAATTTGATAGGTATGTAATAACTAGAGTTGGTCAAAATAATGTTTCAATCTCGAAGGAGTACATCGGGGGAAGCTTCCTGGGTGGAAAGTTTTACTTTGGTTTATTTTTTGAGTGAACCCAGGATCTTAATGGTACGCCCCCATAGAGGGCGCGACCCTAACTACGTGCATAAGATCTTCAAAGTCAGAGACTGTCGCGTCCACAGGGGAGAAGGGAAGAAAGCACTAAGACCGAAGGTGGACATAGCCAACGCGAAAGGGTACTACACAACAAGTGCACACTAGAATCTGTCAAGGTATAATGACCAAGTTTAGCATTTCCTTCCTATAATTCTAACGCTGGAATAAACAGTCACTTTCTACCGTGACGGAATTCGGAAAACGAGACTTTGATATACGTGCGTGTTCAGGTGTCAGCTAGGCTCGTTGGGCCCGGTACACTTCACAAGAACCCGCCTTGCTCGGTCGGCCCACATATAGTAAATATCCGAATATTTTCCCAGGCGCGCCGGCATAGAAAAACACAATCTGATTTCTTCAGACGAGTGCGCGGAGTTTTTGGTTCCGTGCGGGGTGGCGAATCATAGCGTGAGGGGTTCATCGCAGCCTCTGAGTGTTCTTGGATATCGCCCCCCTAGCTGTCTACTTGAGCGAACCGGTCGTAATGCTCCCGGGGCGCAGGGAGGGGCGATTTTTCTTTCGTAAAAAAAAAACAAGCTTCCAAAATTTATTCGCTCTCGTAAGTTGTTTTAACAAGAGCGCTTTGAAAGCTGACGGGAGCCGAAATCGCTCAGCGCTCCCCGTAATATTACTTTTCAGCTGACTATGCATACATAACTGTAGAGCGGCAAGTCCTGGACGATCTGCAGCCCCGGATATCGTTGCGAATGCGCGCGAAACGCCGGCAGTCGGCTGACAATACATCTTTATTCGCTGGCCCTATTTAAAAAATTTCGCGCGATGCCCTTTGGGTACAGGATAAAGCCGTATAATGCGGTCAATTGAGGAGTTGTTGGCCGCAATTCACAAGCCTTGTCGACTATGCACGTAGGTCGAGAATAAAGACAAATGCTGGTAATTGCTCTTTGCTGGTCGGCGCGTTTTGATTTTCCTCTGAAAAGTGAGTTTGCATTCTTCCGGTTTCACGCACGCTGAATTTATTCTCGTAGCATATGGCCGTGGCGACATAGATGGCGCGACGAGAGCCTTCGAAGGATTTTCGAAGTATTTTTCAACAAGGATCGGCGATTCAGATTAGCTGTCCGGGCGGTGGAGAGTTCCAACGACTGCACTACTATACAGCGTTTAGTGTAGCGAAAGATACTTTGGCCGATGTTTACAGGTCCGTACCAGTCTACCTCGAATTCGTGGACGTGCGATTCCGGTGGTGTGTAAAGTTATCGTAAGCATCTAGTACCCGCCGACGTTGATTGGCTAACCCGTTGATTGATCGTTTGGTTTACACTAGAGATTTCCACTAGTTGGTTTTTAATCTGGAAAAAGCGCCTGGCTCCGTACGTGCGACGGCTTTTTATCAACACTCTTGCCCGCCGCTGGCCCGTTGGCGACGGAACGTCTGCGCGAGCAGCGTGCTTGGCCGGTGGCCGTGGCCAGCTTTTGCAAGTAGCTAATCCGTACAACGCCGCCACACTGACACACAAATATATGATGATGCACATGTTTTTTACGAAGAGCCGGCGGAGCGCGACATCCAGCGTCCCTCCTCCCCCGCACTCACGGTGGCGGCCAGGGCACGGTCCAAATGCTATATCCAACAACGCTGGGCTCGAGGGAGTTTTTGCGCCGCGGTGACTTTCGTAGTAAATAGGATTTGTATTTATTTAAGCATTGTTACATTTTATTGAAACGCTGAAAGCTGCATGCTTGTTGTGCCTGCTGCTGGGCAGCCATGATGCCCATGTATATTAGCAACCAATTATTAACCCGTGCGCGCGGACGCGATGCGAGAGAGAGAGGAGAGAGAGAGACAGACCGTGGGAAGTGCGAGAAAGAGAGAAAGAGAGTGGGAGAACGCCAGATAAGGTACGAAAATAACGGCAGGTGGACGACGACGGGCGAGGATGGTACAAACGGCGTAGTCAGA